GCCCTTATGCACATGTGTGCACCTGTACACGTGTGAACACATCCCATGCTCTGTACATACATTTGCACCCACATATGTGCACACATCAACACGCACACTCAGGCACACAAGAGCATGTATGTGCCGTGGCTGCCAGAGTATGTGATGCTGCCAGGGGCCCCGGGCCGGGACTGCCTGCCGGGTCCCCATTGCTCCGTCTTGGGGGGTGTAGTGGGTTGAATTGTGTCCCTCCAAAATACATGTTCAGGTCCTCACCCCAGCACCTGTGCATGTGACCTTATTTGGGAATCTCTGCAAATGTGATCGAGTTAAGATGAGGTCATAGTGGATCAGGGTGGGCCCTAATCCAGGGACTGAGGTATTTATAAGAAGAGGGACATTTAGACCTGGAGAGACACAGGCTGAGGCTGTGTGAGACAGAGGCAGAAATCGGAGTGATGTGTTCACAGCCAGGGAATGCCTGGACACCGGGAGGAAGGATCCTTCTCGGCCCTGTGACACCTTGATTTCAGATCTCTAGCCTCCGGGACTGTGGGGAGTAAACGTGTGTGGTTGGAGCCCCCACTCTGTGGTCCTTTGTTCCGGCTGCCCCGGGACACTAACAAAGGGGCCAAGCTGGGTTTGCTTCCCTGCTGGCCTCTGGGAGGGTCCAGAACCTCTGGGCCACGCTGCCGTTGTCTGCGATGTAGGGTGGTGCAGCGCTGGGGTGGGAAGCCTCCAGCCCACAGCTGCCGAGGGGACAGCGGGGGAGTAGCTGCAGCCGGGCACAAGACACGTGTCCCTGCTGAGATTGGCCCATGAGGGCAGTGGAGAGAGGGTTAAAGCTGAGCATGGGAGGGTCCCGGCTGGCTGCTTCTGTCCCTGAGAGCCCCTCAGCACCCCACAGAGCAGGCAGACTGTGCAGGGCACTACTGGACAAGAACGTCCTCAACGCCAGGCCAGGCTGTCCTATGGAGTGGGTGGAAGTTCAGTCTAGCTCGTGTTAGCCTTACAGTAAAAAAACCGTGCTCTTATTTCAAGAACAACGCCCCGCAACAGTGGGCCCAGGCCAAGTGGCCACAACCCTGTCCACACACCTTTCCCTGAAGCACCCCCTGACCTCCCCTCCTCTGACCACCAAGGCTGTGGTCAGTGCTGCCCTCACATGGTCCCCACCTTCTGTGCAGCCAGACACCTGGCTGGTGCCTGTCTTCCACTCACCAGGTGCACCATGGGCTCTCGGTGTCCCTGAGACCCCCCCACTTTGCCTCTCCTTGGGGACATGGAGAGGGTGTGGAAGGGTCTCACAGCCATCACGGACAGCGCTGACCGACAGCGCTGACCCAGGGTCAGGTGACCACCCCTGTTCTGGGGGCACCCGCACAGGGAAGACAACCCACAGCTTCTAAACAGTTCGTGCCCAAGGGCTGGAGTCTGGGGCTGGTGTTTGGTGGGTCACACGGTCCATTTGGGCAAGTAGCTGGGGACATGGGAACAAGGTCCAGGGCTTTGTTGTGTGGTTTTGGCCTTCTTTCTTTGCAGATAGCAAGCAGTGTCCCAGGAAACGATGACACCAACAAAGACATGCCCAGCATTTCCTGGAGCCCAGTGTTTGCCCAGCCCAGGTTCCTGAGAGTGGGAGGATGGGCACCAGGCACCACCCCCAGCCCTGCAGTGACCCACAGAAGGGCACACTGACTCATGTCCTGAGAGACCCAGAGGTGGCCTGGTGGGGGGCTCTGTGACACTGTCCCACCTCCAGTGGCTCACCCTTTGCAGGGAGTGTTGCCTGAAACCAGTCTCCTGGGGTTACCTGGGCCTCCTTGGTGGATGCCCTAGCGAGGTCTTTCCCATGGCATCATATTTGGTCTGGTCCCCTGTGCACATCACGCCTCCAGCGTGGGTCCTTCCAGAGACCACTGAGAGCATGTGGTGCCAGAGCTCCAGCCACGTTATCTGGTGCTGGGGCTGCTTCCTTGGATGGGGTGTGGGGTCGGGTTCTGCTCTGGGCGAGTATGATATGACTGAGCTCCCAGGGCAGCAGGGAGGCATGAGGGCCAGGAAGTGGGGATTGCCCAGCTCACCCCAAAGTCAGGCTGCTATGCACCACCAGGAGGTCTTCCATCGTACACCTCCGATCCCAAGCCTGGGAGGCCCAAGCGTGACTGTCCCCAGGCGAGGGTCTGACCCTGAGTTTGTGGTTCATTTTGCTGCCGTCGCTGCTGTGGGCCTTTCTGGTCTTTGGGGTCTTGCCCTGTTCACACAGAGGAGGGCCAGGCACCTCTTCCTTCCCCACCTTCTGGTGCGGCTGGTGCTTGGTGACGTCACTGCTTGCAGACTGCAGAGTCGCTGTGCTGAGCCTGCAGGCAGAGGAAATGTCCTTGGGTTTTCCTGACCCCTCCTGCCCCGTCTTTTCTGAGCCCCCCAAGGAGGCTGACAGGTGCTGTCACCACTGTCCACCCCCTGTCTTGCTGTCTGGTGGCCGGTGCGGCCTCGTGTGGAGAGGTCTGGGCAGGCTGGCATCTCCATCTGGGGCCAGGCTCATCCTCATCTGCAGAGATGGCTTTGGATTTGCACTCCATCCCTGTGTGGCCTCTGTCTCCCTGGAGGGAGGGCACCAGGGGGTCCAGGGCATCCGACCTGTCCCCCTAGCGGCTGTGGTGCCGAACAGGCTGGCCTGGGGGTGTCTGACCCCCATGGCGTGGGGCCGGTGTGGGGGAGCTCGGTGGCAGCTGCTCGGGGGGTAGATGCTGGGTGTCCCTGTGAAGACCTCCCCACCTCCTGCATGGTATTAGATGTCCGTGGGAAAAGGCCTCGATTGTTATTTCACGTTACAGCAAGATGTTCATGAACATAATGTCTTTTCATTTAGTTTTATTTGTATCAACGTTATATATGTTCAAATGTCTAAAGTCCACTAGGAATATAAAGTGTATAATGAAAACAATTTATCTCCATATTTCTAAATGATGTACTTGTCCTGCTGTTTCTGTTTTTCAATTTAGACATTATGTATGGAAGTGAAGGTTTTGCAGTCTTACAGTCCCTACCCCCGTACACACGAACATAACGTTTGGCTAAATCAAGACTCGGTGTTTGTGTCGATGACTGCAGCCTGCTCGTGTGGACAATTGTGAGCGTGTCTCATTTCTGTCCAGCTCTCGGTTCTCTGTGTGGTTGCTCATGTTCTGACGGCTCCGTTTTTACGGTCCTGTCACCCTGCCATCCCGGCCTCTCCTGCTGCCTTCAGACCTTAGATGTCTGTTTCAGTTTTCTGTTGTTAACAGACTTCTGCAAACGTAGCAGCTTAAAACAGTGCCGACTGGTTATTCCTCACAATTCTGTGTGTTCACTGCACAGTGGTGCTGGCTGGGCTGCAGCGTCCAAGGTGACTGCTCACAGGCCCCCCGCCTCGGCCAGGATACCCCGACACACACATGCAGACACTTCTACCTACATGCACACACACACACACACACACACACATAATCACATACATGTACTCATACACACACTCACACACATAAACACACATACCTGTATGCACACACACACATCACACTCATACATGAACATAAACATACACACGCACACACTCACATGCATACATACACATGCACACACTTAGTCTCACATATACACACCACACATACATACACTCACATGTACACACATGTGCTCACACGTGCACATGTACTCATACATACACACATGCACTCACACACATACATTCAGACACGCGCTCATGTGCACACACACATGTACGTGCACACACTCACACAAGCACATACACTCCCACACATACACACACACACTCCCACACATACACACACACGCACACCACACATACATAAACACACACACACACTCTTTCTCGTGCACACTCACCACCTCCAGGGCCCTCCGTGTGCTGGCTGGGCTTCCTCACAGCATGGTGGTCTCAGGGCACTGGGATTTCTTGTGTGGCAGCTCAGGGCTTCCAAGAGTGCAAAATCAGAAGCTGCAGCTGCTTTAGGGGCAGGGCCAAAAGCATCAGTTCTGCACTGTTGGTCGGAGCAGGTCACAGGCAGGGACCCCCCCTGCTGAGAGGAGTAGCCAGGTGTGGGGGGGTCTTCAGTGTGCATCCGCAGCTCCTCCTTGGGTAGCTGCCAAAGCCCTGGGCTCTGCCTTCCCGTCTGCTGTCTGCCAGGCTCCCTGCCCCCTCCCACTCTTCCCGGCGTGGAGTGCTGCACCCGCCCGCTTGGCCCACTGGCAGGGAGAGTTCTGGGGAGACCACATTTTTCTTGGCTTGTTGCAGTCAGGCGGGCTCCTTTCCCTGAAAGCACAACTGCTCTCTTTAGGGGATGGGGTTGGGACCCTGGGCTGAGGTGACCTCTGTCCCCCCAGCCGTCTGTCCGCCAGGGGTGGCCATCAGAGACCTGTGTGGGTGGTTGAGTGGGAGGTGGGGGCGTGTCAGGGGCAGGGCTGACACCTGGGGCTCCCAGCAGCATGAGACAGGAGTTTCTCTCAGGGTCCATCCTCCTGCACCCTGGTGGGTGGGGCACTCAGGGCTCCTCCCCAGGCTCAGTCGTTGAGGGGTGTGTCTTTCCCAGGGGGTGTTAGTGCATAGTGAGGGCCCCCAGACTGACAGTCACACTCTGGGTCTCTGTGCCCCAGGCACAAGCATGGCTGTGAGCTCCCTCAGCCATGAGCGGACAGAAGGATCCAGAACAGCACCCCTGTGTCCAGTCTGGTGGACTGATGGGCTTCAGGGTGAATCCCGAGGTCAGGGTCCCTGAGCCATCAAAGACCCTCCTCTGTCCTCCAGGCATGGCCAAGGGAGGTGGGGCTCGTGGACGTGGCAGGGCTGGTGAGAGCTGGGGGGATATGGGGGGCCATAGGGGTCTCCAGTGAGCCAAAGAGCCTGGCGGAGATGGTTTAGAAGACCCCCAGTGGGTCCTCTGGCCTGGTGCTTGGTCCTGAGGGCCTGTACCCCAGCACCTGACCCCAAAGTAACCTCTGCTCCTGTCTGCTTCCCCAAGGTCATCAACGCTGAGGGCACAGCTGCTGTCCTGGAGCTTCTGACTTCCGTCCCAGGGACCCCACATGCCTTCCAGCCGGCTGCGTGCAGACACAGACCGCACCGTGGCAGCCTGTGCGAGGCCAGCAGAGAGGAGCAGGTGTGTCCAGGGAGGGGCCAGCCTGGAGCACGGTGGCTCCTCCCGGCTGAGTGTATTTATTTCCGCGCCTCAGACTTCAGCATTCTTGGGCGCTCAGTGACGTGCTCCCTGCTGCTGCTTCCTGTGCCAGGCATGTCACCCGCCAGGCCGGGGCATCCGTGGGGAGCAGGGCCCGCTGTCCCCAGGCCACAGGTGCAGGTGGCCGTGCCCAGCCTCTGAGCACCTCCTGGGAATGGCCACCCCACAGGCCTTGGAGAAAGCCGGCTGCACGCATGGGCTGTCCTCAGCCTGGGCACGGGGCCTCTGTGCACTCGAGAGCCAGGCGCCCGCACCGCCTCCCCTCCGTGTCCTTCCGGAGCCTGTGACCCCCGGGCACGCAGCGCCGGCCGCAGGCCACCTTGTCCCCAAGATGCTGCTACGAGTTCCCAGTACTGTGTGGAGGAGGTGGGGCTGTCACTTCGAAAACAGCTTAGACGTTGAAAGGAAACAATTGGCTGTTGTTGGTAAGAGTGCGTTCCCTTTCCCCTTCTTGTCACTTTAAAGACCAAAAAGAAAAAAAGAAAGAAAAGGAAAAATGGAAAGTTAACCTTCCTCTCTTCTTTGTTTAACAATAAAGAGGAATAGACAGAGGTCTGTGTGGCTCGATCCCACGTGGCGCCTGTGACATGCATGGCTTCTTCCCGTCGAGCCCGTCGTGCAGCCTCAGTCTCTCTGGCGACACTGTGGGACGGTTAAAGTGGCGTTCCCACCGTGGCCTCACTGTCACTGGGAGTCTCCCAGCCTCGTGACCACCCTCCTGATGTCTGGGTGGTGCTTGGACTTCTTGGGTGGAGGCGATGTCCCTGCAGAAGGGACATTTTCACTCCCCGTGCCTCCTAGTGAAGCCGCCGCTCCCCTGGTTTTGTGGTTTGCACGTTCAGAGCCAGGGGACACCCCAGAGGTGATGGTGGAAGCTTGGCTTCTTCCAGGTTTCACTAGAACATTCTATGATCTATGGCACCTTCCTCCATGGGGATTGTTTGTGTGGGGGGGGGTACAATGGGAGCCTCAAGGGTCCCCTCCAGGGACAGATGACAGACCTGAGCCCTGCCCCTGTGTTTTCCTGTGGTCTGGGCCTGAGTCTTGGGGGTAGGGGAGGGGCATGGGTTTCAAGCTTGTTGTAGCTGCAGAGCCCTCTCCTCAATCTAGATCTTACCAGAATCAAATCCCCCAGGAGGAGCTGTTCTCGTCCAGGTCTCTTGACCCTGAGACCTGCCAGGCCCCAGGTGTCCTGGGAACTGTTTGAAAATGCACAGGTGGGAGGGGGGACCATGTGTGTGCCCAGGAGAGCAGAGAGGGGGCACTCTGGGGGAAGGAGAGGCGACTCCCCTCTCCAAGTGCAAAGCAGCCCACCTTCCCCCCACCCCCCGCCCTGCCCACGTGGGCCCAGCAGAGCTCAGGCCCTGACCGTCGGGGCCCGGCCATCTGGTCCCTCTGCTCATGGCTGCCAGTTGCTGTCCCCTTCTTGAGCGTGGCTGTGAGGCCTCCATCCTGGACAACTCCCTCGGTGCCAGGGCTGTGGTGCTGACCCTGAGGGGAGACGTGGCTGCTCTGGGGGTGCCTGGGTTTGGGAGGAAGTGCCGAGGCACAGGAATGACCGGGCATTCTTTGTAAAGCTCGCATGTCTCAGACAGAGTACTCAGGCCTCACACCCCGAGATGAAAAGTCACGTGCAGCCCTGGCCTGGGCACCCCTCCTGCGGTGCTCAGCCCAGTGCCTGCCGGTCAGAACAGCAGCGCCAGCCCCCAGGACAGGAGGACAGACTTGTAGCCACAGCTGTCCCTGGGCCCAGCCTCCCCAGGTTTGCCCTGCAGCCTTGAGATCCCGAAAGGCAGGGCAGGGCTTTCATCTAACCAAGAGCAGGGGTCCAGGGGGTTAGGCTCCACTGCCCTGGTCGCACAGTGGCCGGGCAGGTCCCGAGTCTCTGCACTTCCACCCTGGGGCTCCTCAGGAAGGCACGAGTGCAGGCAGGAACTTCTGCTCCCAGGCTAGCTCAGGCCAAGGGCCCCAGCCCTCTGGGGCCTGGGACAGGCGTGGGCAGCTCCCTGGAGGTCAGCTACACTGTGGGCCGAGGTGGGGAGCTGGTGTTTCTGGGAAGCAAACACAGCCACTGAGCAGACTGCAGCACTCGCACGGCCATGTCTGTGGAGTCAGTTATGTGTCTTTAAGAACCTGACGCCAGCACCTGTCCTGGGCCCTGTAATTGGGGGTGGGGATGATCGTCCTCCTGCTGAGATAGAGAGGAATGGGCATGGCTGTGTGGGCACCCGCACCCTGGGGTCCCCCCTGCCGATGGTGGTCTCCAGCACTCATGTTGCCTTAGCCCAGGCCAGCAGCGTCCTGTGGAACCACAGGTCCTGGCTATGTGACCAGCAGGTACTGGCCTGGGGGTTGCAACCACCACCCAGGGGAGGGTAAATTCATCCCACCTGAGGACACTCCACAGAACAGAAGAGGGGACTTCCCGAGAGCCCCCAGCTCCAGGCCATTCCCTTGAGCCCAGTGAGCTAGAAAGGCCTTGCTTTGGAGGCTGGGGGCCCGGGGAGGTCAGGTGGGAGGCCGGCTTCCCTGGGCAGCGCGAGCCCTTGGCCAGTGGTTCTGAGCTGGGCTCCTAGTCCAGCAACAGCGTTGCCTGCAGACTCATGGAAGTGCAGATCTTCATTGCGTCCAATTGACCTGATCCCTGGTCCCAGACCCTCGGCTTCATCTGGGCCTGAGAGGGTTGTGCTTGGACACGTCCGTCCAAACCAGACTGTGCAGAAGGCTGTGAGTGAGAAATGCCCCGACTGGTGGGCCTGAGGGTGAGGGTGGGCCAAGGGCACCGGCCTCCAAGGAAACCCAGAGGCTGCCACAAAGGTTGTCCAGTGGGCCGGGGAGGACTCCCTAGAACGCCGGTCCTGTGAGACTGTCCACAGGACAGTTTGCCTGGCAGTGGGAGTGGGGAAGCCGTACCGGTCTGAGAGATTCACACACACCAGCTCCCCAGGCCTCTGAGGAATCCTGAAATTAAAACCAAACAAGCCCCTGCCTGTCCCCAACCGCGGGGCCCATGGGACCTTTCTCATGTTCGTTGGCACTTCCTGGAGCTGTCAGGGGCCCCTGCACAGATGCCTCCAGGGCTGCGCCTGTCCCTCCTGCCGTCACGTCCCTCATGACCCTGATGCCACCTATTCGTGCCCAGGGTAGGTTCCTGCCCTGGGCCTGGAGTCTCTTACCACGCCCATGCCCGCTCAGGTCTCCTCAGCTGCTGGACGGGGCTGTGTCCCTCAGGGTCTGGGCTGACATCTAGGGTGGGGGCCTGAGGCCATGGGCCACCCTCTCTGGGTGACGGGTGTGCAGCCCCCACCCTTTCCACCTCCTGGAAGGACCTGGCATGGTGGCTGCAGGAAGTGGGTGGACTTGGTTCCAACGCAAGTCCTGAGGTGCTCAGAGCCCAGCAGGCCCCAATCTGGACAGTGGTGGCCAGACCACTGTCCTTGTGGTCCTCACCACCCAGCCACCCTGTGCACCATGCCCTGCTCAAGTCTTCATCTGGGTGAAGCACCTGTGGAGCTGCACCTGGGGGAGCTGTACGTGGGGAAGTGGGCACCTGGGGGACAGAGCACCTGGGGAGGGTGTGTGGAGAGCGCAGTTTGGCTTCTGTCAGGGTGAGGCTGCACAGGGGTCTGGCCCCCAGGATTGCTGGCTCTGTCTCCCCTCCTTGCCCAGCCCCAGATCCCTGTACCCCGGCTTGTGCCAACACCGTGTTGGCCCCACAGCCCAGGCCCTTCAGGTCTCTGCTCCTGCATCCGACCACCAGGGCAGGAGTCCACTTTGGAGGGCAGTGGGGGTGGGATGGCTGACGAGGGGGAAGGCAGGAGGGGAGGGGGCAGGAGCAGATGTTTATGGAGTCTTCACAGTGAGCTGGGCACTTTGCCACACAATGCACCTGCTGGAGTGCCTACCTCTTACAGCTGGGGAGACTGAGGCCCAGGGGGCAACACAGCTGGTTCCCAGTCCCCTGTCTGCCAGCTATAAGGACTCCAAATCCCTGGACACTTGCAGATCCTGCCAGGGGCGGTCAGCACCCCTGCCGGGGCGGGGAGGCCAGCCGGTGCTTCCTCTTCTCCAAGGTTCCTCTTCCTGTGGTTATAAAGGGACACCTCCTGGCCGCGGAAAGTTAGTGAGAGGAAGAAAAGCGAAGAAATGAGTCTCCTGCGGTGCCCCCCGCTTTTTGCATATTTCTTCCCCTGGTGAGTTTTCTAGGCATTGACAGATGTTTGCCCTGCAGATCTGGCCTCGTGCCACCCAGGAAGCTCTGTGCCCAGATCGCCCTTCCTGTAGCTTTCCAGTGGCTTCCGTGTCCTGGGGGCTCCCCTCCCCTTCCTGCCCTAGGTCTGGTCTCAACCCTTCTGGACACTGTGGGAGGAGCCCTCAGACCTGGTCGGGCAGCCCCTGCCGGGCTCCGTCCCCCCAGCAGCCTCAGCCTCATGCAGGAAGGTGGAGTCTCTTCCTCACCCCCACCAAGTCACAGAAAGGAATGCACGGGGTGCGGCGGAAGAGGCAAGACAGCACAGCAGGGGGCCCGTCCCTGGCCTGAGACTGGCTGTCATCTGCTCTGGAGGGTTAAGCCGCTTTGTGTTCCAGAAGCAGAGGAAGCTTGGGGAGCAGATCAGTACCCAGCCGGGAGGAAGGGGCTGCGGCTGGGGTGAGGGGTGCTGCCACCCTGATCCAAGCCTGCCTTGGATTGGGGGTATGGTCAGCCGGCCCCTCCCAGGTCCAGGCTGCTGCTCCTGGGCTTGCGGGTTACAGCCATCACCAGGGCCTGTCTCCCTTCTGCCCCCACCCTTCAGAGGCGCACCGCCACCAGCTGGCCTCTGCCTTGCCGATTTATTTTTAGCCCCAGCCCCGCCTGATTCTACCGTGGGCCTGTTCACCGGGATCCGGGATCCACAGAGAGAGGCTGCTGAGGCGCTCAGGCCTCTCCCCAGGCAGCCAGTGCCCCTGACCACCAGCGGAGGCAGGGAGGTGTCTCCCGTGATCTTACAGACTGACACTCAAGGGGGGCAGGGCAGTGGGGCTCCCTCCCTTCCTGGTGTGGTTGGGGGAACAGGAAGGGGCTGCAGGGGTAGTCCTGTGGAGCCAGGAGAGCCAGGAGGGGGCCCAGGACTCAACTTGCCTTGGAGCACCGGGCACCACGAGGCCTGAGGGGTGGGTGGAGCGGGCAGAAGCAACGGCCTGAGGGGGGCAGGGGTTCCAGGAGCACAGTGGGGCGCAGACCTCCTGCTGGGTGCAGGGCTGTGGCTGAGCTGCCTGGGGATGCCTGAGGGAAGCCCAGCAGGAGGGGACCGTCCCCCACAAGAAGAGAGGGCTTTGGGGACTGCCGGGTGCAGGCACAGCTGGGGCCTGCTCTGGGGAAACCTGTGCAAGTTGCCAAGGCTCTGCCCAAGTCCTCAGCTGTCACCTCCGAGATGTGCGTCCCTCTCTGGTGGGAGCAGGAGAGGGGACAGTGCCCAGGAGCCCCGGCCCAGGACAGCGGAAATTCCTCACTGCAGGCGGGAGGGGGGTATTTTTAGGGGCCAACCGCATGAAGGTCACCAGCCCTCGGTCC